TTGATGAACTATGTTCCTGTCATTTGAAATTTAGAAAAAAAATTGATTAAAACAGTTTTAAAGAAATTACCTAAAAAGAATTTAAAATAAAATCTACATGCTTTTTTCTCTTCATATTTTGCTATGCATAGATTTTGATATGAAATAATGCATTCTTTTACTCTGATACTGATTCCAAAATTGTCGAAATCTCATATCATTAATAGTATTTTTTTTTATTTCAATAGCATCATGAATAAATAAGCTAAAAATTAAGTACCACTGTCGTAATTCATTTGAATTAAGAAAATTAAATCTATCTTTAATATATATATATATATATATATATATATATATATATATATATATATATATATATATATATATATATGTATGTATATATATATATATCTTTAAATGATTTTTCTTCTTGATTCTCTTTAGCTATGATAAATTAGAATATTAGAATCTCGAAATTTGTTATTAATTAAAAAATTTCATTAAACCAGGTTAACGAGAGACAGTTTATTGATACTACGTGTTAATTAGTAACTAGTTTTTCGATTAGTATTAACCTTGCCTTAATTTGATTTAATTTCTTTAACGGCATATCAAATCCTTATGGGTCATTTAATGCCGAAATTGTATTTTCTTGGGAGCTTTGATGTAATAAAAATATGGTATTTTATTCTGCTTTCACAATTGAATACATGGTAGATGATACTCAGATTTTGTAAATATACATGTTTGTGTGGACATAATTACTAGAGGCGGTGATATGCGTGTTTTATTTTTTTTTTTTTTTTGATTTTTGAAGTTATAATTTGGGATGTAGTTTGATTTCTTTTAGAAATTATAGGATATTATGTGGATTAATGCCATGAAAGAATTCTTTCATGTTGGTTGTTTGATTTTGTTTAGCGGCATATCAACCTCTATCGGTTATTTAATGCTGAAATCTAAATATTTTGCCTGTAACTGTATGCCTTCAACTACTGCTTTAAAATGTATTGTAGGTAATTTTACTATAAATATGTATTATTGGCATTTTATATATATATATATATATATATATATATATATATATATATATATATATATATATATATATATATATATATATATATGATATTTTTACTATAAAATATATTTTTATATTTTCGTATTTTGTTTTTCTTTGGAATTCACTATTTGCCCAATGGCTAGGAACCCAACAGGTGCTACTATCCCGGGTCAGAGTGAACCTGGGAAGAACAATAATTATAACCTATTATTATAATTATAGTCTATTATTATAATTATAGTCTATTATTATAATTATAGTCTATTATTATAATTATAGTCTATAGCTTATTCAGAGTTGTGCCTTCTAGGAGAAGGACAACTCTGAATTCAAACCCGGAGTGGATCCCCTAAGGCGGATGGACGGCACTTTGTGCTACCTTCCGGCAACTATTGGTTTATCCTCTCCTTTGGAATCTGCAACTCTAGTTTTCCATATATCTCGCCCAGGCTCGTAGTGCAAACAAGCTACTCTATCGTCTCTCGAGACGGACGGATGCCGACGATGCTGAATTCAGTAAGTTTGTTGTTTTTTTTCTTTACTCTTACGTAGAATAAATTATTGCATGTGAAATTGCATGAGTTCTTATGTTGATTCCAACTGCACCTGTCCGAGGTTAAGTCTGTTGAAAGAAAAATGCTGGATTTGTAATCTCAAGCAGAAAATTGGTAATTGCAAGGTTGGTATTTTTTATCAATTCACCCCCAAAGAAGGTAATAATGCCACTAAGACGCAAGGGACTACTGAGAGAGACATAGAATGAAAAGAAGGAAGAGGAAACGCAACCCTAAACAGGAAACAAGGGATAAACTTCTATTCCTGTTCAAAGAGTCTAAACCGGACGATAGACGAACCTATCTACTCCTATTGAGAAGAGAAAAAAGAAAGATATAGTAAATAAAATTTTAGGTGAAGACGTTAGAAGTACAGAGTTGAAGTTGACTTTAGAAGGAATGGGAAATACAATCTTAAACGGGAAACAAAACGATAAATCCGTTCTCCTGTTCTAAAGACCTGGAAGAAGTCTGGTTATAGAATTTTTTTCTAAATATGTTGTTCTCTTAACAGTAACGAAGGCTATTGACATGTCAAAAATTACCAAAAATACGTTGTAGTTGCCGGCCTTTTTTTTCTTTTTTTTTGCTAGTAGTTTGGTTGTTAGTATTGTTCATTTGTTGAACACCCAGATTTATATACTGCTTGGTCAGATGGAATGATTCCTTCCAAACTGTCCCAAAATCTATTTAATAGACTGATTGCCAGCATCTTGTGCAAAATGGCCAGCTTCTTGTGGCGTACCTGATAAATTTCAGCTTTTGAACCACCACTTATGTATGAAACATCTTATTGAGAAAATTATAAATTACTTGATATTTACCTGAACACCATTTCCTGTTAATACTTGGAAAGATTTAAAATATTAAAATATTTAATCCATTTCATAAATACTACAATACAAAGCAAAGACAATCGCTTTAAGTTAAAGGATCCCATATTATATCCGATGTAACATAACATAAAATTAAATGGAAATTTTTTTTCGTGTGACGTCACCCTTTAGGACGTCATCAGACTAAAGTGATATTTACGTTGTTGTGATTGCATATGTTTTATGAAGGAGAGGAGAAACTGAAATGTTAAACTTTTGAATTTAATTTGTTTTTAAACATGTTCTATTTGGGCTATCCAATTTAATTTAATTTCTGTTTATTTATGCTTTTATCAGTTTTGTTATTAAGTATCCCACAGGTGAAATGTTGTAAGAAATAAATAAACTATTTTTAAAATCAATATGCAAATTAGTTAAACCTGAAGTCTGATATTGTCTAGAAGTAGATAATATATAATACAGATATTGAGTTTTGAGAATGAAAATTGCTCTTTACCGCGTAAATCCCTCCTTGGAGGGATTTCGCATTATTTATCATCTCTCAGTTGCGTCTGTCCTTGGACAGAGTGCGCTCAGGGGCTTCTCTGTCTGAGGACAGAGGGGCAACTGAGGAAAATTATACTGAAGAGGTGCCCGGCCCTGGGGAAGAGCTGCCCGAGGCCGCGCCCTCCCATTGCACAAGAGGGAGGGGTCGGTGCTCGCACCGAGACCAGCGCAACCGACTGTTGTGGGGGCTGAGTGGAATTTGTGCCCCTGCCCGAGTGTACGCGCTCGGGTCCCCACATTAATCCGACCTTGTGTCACATCTCATTCTTGTGGGGGAATGAATAAACACCGTGAAAATTGCTCTTTACCGCGTAAATCCCTCCTTGGAGGGAATTCGCATTATTTATCATCTCTCAGTTGCAACTATGTCTTTGGTCAGAGTGCGCCGATAGGCTTCTCTGTCAAAGGACAGAGTTGCAACTGAGAAAAAATATATTGAGAGGTGCCCAGTCCTGGGGAATAGTCCGCGCCCTCTCATGGTAGCAGACAGAGGGATCGGTGCTCGCACTAAGGCCAGCGCAACCGACGTGGCGTGGGCTATGGGCAATTTTTATTCCTTGCCAGGGTGTTCGGGCTCAGGTCCCACCTTAAAAAAGACCTTGTGTCACATCTTGTCTTAATGGGGAGACAGAGTAAATACCGTGTCTAAATTAAAGTAAAGCTTGGGCTTTTTAATCTCAAAATTTGTGTGAGAATTGAGCTCTAATTTCGCATTTATTTATAGATTCCATGATACAGGTTTTACTTAATTAGCTATTATGTTTCTCTAACTCTTCAAATGTTAAATATATAACAAATTCTAATTTCTATTTTCCCATCTTTATACTATATTAATTTTATTATATGAATTGTCCCCTGTTCTCTGACCCATGAAATAGAAATAATTGTTTGTACGAAAAATAAGGATCTACGTACATCAAATCGTCTTTAAGTGGCAGCAGAAGAATTATTGAACTTTTGAAAGGTAAACTTAAGCATTAATTCAAATACTTAAATGCAGCGATCAATTTTGAGTTCTTCTGTAGTTTATTGATGCCTATCGCATCTACTATTCTCCAGCTATTGTAATGATGGTCAAACCAAGAATCCTCCAGAGGAGCAAAGCTTAATTGCAATCCAATAGGGCGTTTAAAGCTAGTTTATAATAAAACGTGCAGATGCAATTTTGCATACAAACGTAAAACAAAAGTTACTCCCCTTGAACCATGAAAGCAAAAATAATGGCTAGTATAATATATTAATATATATATTTTTAACATAATCTAGTAACGCTGAAACTGAGCTCAACGAAAATCGTTCCCTGCGCCTAACTTTTTCGATTGAGCATTGGGAACGGAGGAGTTGCTTGGACACACACACGCACAAACACGCGCGCGCGCACACACACACACACACACTGTACTTTACATATAAGGTTTCAGGAACGGTCATTTAAGATGTCACATTCATCATTATAATTGGTTCCTCAAAACGTGAGTTACTTACAACTCATCCTAAGAATATTTTAATCTTATCATATTGATAAATTGGTAATTTGTAGTTCACAAGCCAGTTTGAAATTTATCAGTTGCATCACTATCCTGATTCGAAATTAACATCAAGAGATACCCTGAGTTATGTATCCCTAAATATTCAGAACAAAACGCATTTTATGTGATGGGATTTTTTAAATTTGAAATTACTAGGTAAACTAGGCAAATACACAAACACATACGCACGTATGCATATATAATATAATATTCTAATTTATATCTATCGTGAACACGTACATGTGCAATACATAAACCGTTTTGTTTGCAACATAAAATAAGGATGCAACTTCCAAAACATTATAATTCAAATTTTGCGGATACGCACGAATAAAATATTTTTGAACACACAAAGAGTCATAAGTAAATGATTATATGTACAATATACAGAAGTTATATATATGATAATATATATATATATATATATATATATATATATATATATATATATATATATATATATACATACATACATATATATATATATATATAATTATAGATAGATATGAATAGACTGAAATAGATATGAACTGACTGAGATAAATAGATATAAATAGACTATATATATGAGATAGATATATATGAACAGAATGAGATAGATAGATAGATAGATAGATAGATAGATAGATAGATAGATAGATAGATAATGAACAGAATGAGATAGATATGAACAGACTGAGAAACATATGAACAGACTGAGATAGATAGATAGATAGATAGATAGATAGATAGATAGATAGATAGATAGATAGGATATGAAAAGGCTGAGATAAAATATAAGTTTCATGGTATGCTATATTCATGGTTAAAAGTACTTAATATCAGGGATACAGCGTATGTAAATATAAAAGTCAACAGCAAGAGACGACAGTTTGTGTCACGAGGTCTTGGTCCAGGGTGGGGCAAGAGTTCGACTTGGCGCCCCCTACTACAAGCTGTGGCCAATAAGACAGGATGGATCAAATAATTTTTTGTAATCGAAATTCAAATACTTCTCGCGTTTATTGACGCGATATACAAATATAAATACAAGTAATTTTATTTCAGATTCCAAAATTACAACATCAAAGACAAATACTTGTTCTAAAAACAGGCCAAAATCTAAATCTAAATGCTTTCTCACACAAATACAAATGTTCTTTAAAAGTATTTAAATACAATTCAAATACATGTTTTATTTGATCCGCCACTACCAACAAGCACTGAGCATTGTCAAAACTTGAATTAAAAGACTAAAGCAATTCATTTCATAGGAACGAGATAGTCTTGATTTGAAAGACTGTCGTGTACAGACATATGGCCATGCTGCAACAATGGCTAAGAAGGTGTCCAGAAAATCAAATCACAGAGAAGCCCGAAAGCGATCTTTATGAATTGTGACAAACATTCTTTGAACCTCGTAAGATTGCAGGCAGCATCAGAACACATGCTTGCAACATCATTGGGAGTTCTTCAACATTTGTACACTTTTACAAAGGTACGTCTTTGTTCTGAAAAGCTTTAGCACCCATCTTCACCATTTGTACGCGTAGATCATCAGAAATTTGTGGTTTATCACAATTTACATCAAAATTTAAGCAACTTACATCTTTCTTGGTTAATACTGCATATTTAGTTTCTTCATATGTGAATGTTCATCAGATTGGCAACGAAACGAAGATGAAGGCTGATTGGAATCATCCAATATGACCGTTTGCTTCAATGGTCGAGGCAATGGTGAAGATGACGACTGCTTCACTGAACCTAGTGCTGTCTGCGTAGCCAAAGCCAGTGGCAAGTACAAGCAGAGAAACAACGCGATCGTCAACATCTCCATCTGGATGTGGCATTTTGAGAAACTTCAAATAACTTGACTGGATTTCTGTACATATTCGCATTCTCTTTTCCTACGATTTCTGCCTTCCACGCCCGATTCTTTATTGTTTTGCTGCCCATGTCGCTCCATTCTTAAAATTTCTGCCTGAAATAAAAGTAGAACTGTCCCTCTCAGTCAATATCATGAGGCTAGTTTGTCTCATACGGGTGTTTATTGTCAACCGAACGCCATAACACCGTGACAATGTTTCCCCGTAAATAAAACCGGGGTAACACAACCGTGAAAACTGAAATAATCAAAAGGAGTCAGTATCAGAATCTATCCTAACTTAACAAACGAATACGTATATACATTGCAATAAAATATTCTTCCGTATATTCTCAGCGGGAGTTGGACACCTCGAGGTGGTGTAATGGTTAGTAAGCTTGTCTCGCTAGAACAATTAGAACTGAATAGTGAGTTCGATTCTCACTGGGTGCCACATACTTTTGACCTGGTACCACATCTAAGCTGCGCTTGGAAAATCACTATCGCGGGAGTGCATGGTTTTCCGTAATAAACTTTAAAGACATTCATTGACTTTCTTTGCGTATAATAATAATAATAATAATAATAATAACGCAGCGAGGGCTACAAAAAACACCGTGCAAAGCTTTTGCCTTCGCTAACGACAAAAATTGTGCCATAAAACTCTTGAATCTTTTCGCATCAAAACACTATATGCGGGAATATACGGCACGTTATATCCGATACTGAGTTACAACAAGATCATTATATCTAAATCTTTTATATATTAATTGAAATGCTATGATCTACCAATTGGGACGAGGAGAAAAATTGCCATTATTATCATTTTAAAAAGAAACTCTGGGTTTAACAAAATTAGGAATGCATCTTATACACATTAATATGAATTGCTTTTCAATCTGGACTCAACCGAGGGAAAAACAGAATTAAACAATACTTTTTTGTTGTTTCTTTAACTCATTTCACGTTTTGGCCAGCATGCACATCCGTCCGCACTGAACATGATCGAAGAACTACTGAGCGCCGTCTGCAAAATAATTCGTGACGCGCCATTAATGAAATAATTATCTACAGGCAGTCAGAAGAAGAATATTAAAGTAAATAAAAGAATATTAAAATAAATAAAAAGAAGGAAATTTTAGGTCCTCTTTCAACAACTTTTGAATTAATTTCCCGATATTTTCGCCGATAAATGCGTTAAAACATTAGCCTACCATAACCTAACTGGAACTTAATTTTTCACTTCATAAATAAGCTTGGTTAAATTATTTAGGCGAGATTTTTACACCTTTTTTTGGGGGGAGGGAATATTTGAAGTGGAACATTTCGCTTGCAATTCGCTCCCAGTACAGGTAATAAACTTGCCAATCACCGAGCGATGTTGCGCCCCAAGACGGTGGGCCCTGGGGAGGCTGCGCCTCCTACTCTACCTCTATGATCCGCTACTGTTCATATTTGAACGCAAACATCAGGCCATCCTGATGAAACAGACTGTCGCCTGTCTTAAACAGTTTTTTATATATATATATATATATATATATATATATATATATAGAGAGAGAGAGAGAGAGAGAGAGAGAAAGAAAGAAAGAAAGAAAGAAAGAGATAGATAGATAGATAGATAGATAGATAGATAGATAGATAGATAGATAGATGTAGAAATGATAAAATAAAAAGATACGATTAACCATATATATGAGCTCTAACATTGAGCATAATGGCGAGACTAAATTTTATTTTGGTTCCACTGCTAACTATTGGCAAACTCAGTATTACCAGCATAAAATAACTCTTACTAATAAGCAATATTCAAATACCACGGCACTCTCTAAATGTTTCTGGGAAATCAAGAGAGATTACTACACACCTTGGGATCCCAACACTATAATAAAACCTTTTAACCTCAACAAGGATAAATGTACATTGTGCCTATTAGAAAAACGAACTATTCCTAAACACATCGATAATCATAATCTGCTAAACAAGCGATATGAGGTTATGATTACTTTCAGCCATAGGTAAATCTCTCTTGAAATATTTCAGTACTGGGTAGAGCATTTATCCTATCATCTCTGCAATGCACCAAATGACCTGTCTCTAAAATCTTTTTTTTTTGTTGTTGTTTTTGTCTTTTTCAGTATTCAGTTACCTCCCTTACACCACCTGAGAGTTTAACGGTTTTTAACCTAGCGTTTCTTGTTATTACGTTTTATTATTTTTAATTAATATTTAATTTTTATTATTGTTTATTTTTTTCTTTTCTTTATCTATATTGTTTTTTGCCTACTATCGCATTTTATTTGGTAACTACCAACATTTTTAGCTCATACTATACTGAAATATTCTTATCTGTTGACTCAATGCACATTAACGGATCAATATCTCTATTTAACTAATAATAACTCAGTTTATTTTTCGATATCCACCTACCAACACTGTATATTTTGAATTTATACCCCCAATACTATATTATATTTATAGTAATCTTTAACTTCGAATCCACAGACAATGTAGCGTTGCTCCCATGAGGCACAAAGATTTAAAAACAAAACAACTGTATTAAACAGTTCATAACTTTTTATACCTGATAACTGGCAAAGCCATGAAACTCTGAGTCGTACTGTAAACGTAGATATACGTGTAATTATTAATATATATATATATATATATATATATATATACATATGTGTGTGTGTGTGAAAAAGTATATAAATATAAACAAATATATATATGTATAATTATTTATATATTATATGCCTGGTACTTATTAGAAAGCTCAATATCAGAGATAGAGCTATATATTTGATAGATTGGAGTAGATGACCCTGAGTTTCACGCTTTTAGCGATCGAAACCCAGGGTCACAAACTCACATCTATTCAACAAATATATATATATATATATATATATATATATATATATATATATATATATATATATATATATATATACATATATATATGTATGTATATATATATATATATATATATATATATATATATATATATATATATATATATGTGTGTGTGTGTGTGTGTGTGAATTTTACATTATTGTTAGTGACTGACAGTCACTATCCAATGTCTATCCTTATGTACATACTTTATATCTATCAATCTGTATATATATAATTGCTCCGAGGAGCTGCATTCCCAGACTTCATGAGTTCTAGCGCCCTACGAGGCTGGCATCCTGCTCTCACCCTTTCACTGTCGAAACTATTAAATGTAGCCGTCTCTTCTACTCCAATAGCTTCATGTCTCGCACCTCTCGCCTGTGGAACCCCTTCCCTATTCCAGTTTCCCTGAGAGCTATAATCTCCAGCTATTCGAATGTAATGTCAATCGACATCTCCAGTTGCCTTGATCTATCCACTATACTTCTCCTCATCCTTTCCTCTATCACCCCTATCTGATCTTGCTCCAAATCTTCTGTAACCCCTTTGTCCTAGTGGCCCCGCCTTGCTTGGGGTGAAAAGCTTTATATATATATATATATATATATATATATATATATATATATATATATATATATGGGGAGAGAAAGGGGAAGAGAAAACAGTGCCAAAAAAGAGTTCAAATTCAGAATGTATTTGTAATAAAAAGAGAAACAGCCAAGATTAAGTAAGGTGTCTTTCTCCGGGAGTCGGGGTGCGTATATTGAAAGGAGTCTTTAAAAAAACAATAAACGTAAAAAAATTCATTTGTACCGTTTCTAAGAATAACTTGAAACTGGTTTCATCAGACGTGAAGACGCCGAAATTAAAAATCAGTAATGTGTAAATACACAAAACACAATCTTTGAAAACGTATGTAACAAATATATATATATATATATATATATATATATATATATATATGATAAATTGAAATAGAGAACAAAGTAGGAAACTCAGTCTAACTTATTTCACCTTTATTAAGGCTTCGTCAAAGATCGATAATAGAAATGAAAAAGCAAAGAGACAGAGTATTGGAATGTCATGATTTTTGGTAGTTCTCATTGGTCAGACACGTGTTACGCGTACAAACGCAATAGATAATATATAAATATATGTGAAGAATATTTAGGACCTTAAAGTGTGTGATATTGTAAGAGTGTGTAAGTAAAGAAACGTTTGTATGTGTAGCCGTATGTAAGACGGTAATGTTAATTCATGTAAGTGTGTATGTGAAGGAAGTCTACAGATGTGTACCCTCGTATTTTGTTGGTGAAATCTATCGATATGTTACAAAATAATTTTGTATTGGGTTGGATTTTTATATTCTCGTGCATATCTATGTGCGTGGGGAGAAAGTCTTTGGTCATTAACAGTGGCGTAGCTAGAGTAAACGTCACCCGGTCCGCTCAAATGTCACCCCAATGACCCTGATTCACCCTTATGCTGAATGGTTATTGTAGCTAAATTTTCATACATGCTCTACCTCACTTTTTACTCTACTGACCGGTACGTTACTGTTTACATGTATGATCTAAGACAAAATCAAATACAACAAAATAATCAGTTCAAATCAAAAGCTGAAAACATTGCTATTTTTCCTAACCACAAATTTCCTGACAATTTATTAGAAAATTTCTGACGGGGGGACAAAACTGGGGTGGTCATAGATTATTTCTGCCGGGGGGGGGGTCATATGCCCGCCTGCGAAACCCTGTGTCTCCACCACTGTTTTCAGACTATATTTGGCACCTTAGCCTGGTTGAAAAATTTTGTTGGGGGTGACAATTTGTCACCCCTCCTGTGCTGGCACCCGGGGCGATCCGCCCCCCTCGTCCCCTCTTAGCTACGCCACTGGTCATTAACTCTGTAGGTTGGTGAAACGTAGTAAGATTTAGTAATAATCTAGTTTTGGTTAGATTTAATTTTGAAAAAAAGAAATAACATCTTTAATATTTAATGGATTTGTAGGGAAAATAGTGAAATGATGTAATGTTTTAAATGAGTATTTATAGTTGGTAGTAATGCTATGAATATATTTTCAAATAATAGGCTTAATTTTAATTAGGATGTCTTCAGTGAAATCAAAGTTACGTCCCTTCGATGTAAGACAAGAAATTTAGAATATGTTTAAACGCAAGTCTCTCTTCTATTCATACATCCGGGTTTTTAGATCACGTTATGTCTCTCCCACGTAAACTTTTTTGCACTGTAGACATTTTCAGTATTTACATTAGTCGGACTATTGTCCTCATCTTTTGTCATATATTTGTCACAACGTTTTCCCGGTTGTTGCCGGCCTTCTTCAGGTGGTTGGAATTCGAACTGAACCCTTTATTTTGATCTAAATTCCAACCACCTGAAGAAGGCCGGAGCGTACAACGGCCGAAACGTTGTGACAAATATGGCGACAAAGATGAGGACAATAGTCCGACTAATGTAAATACTGTACATAATACCTCATCTCAGAAATATAGACAGACTCTGTAGACATTTTATCTGGCTATAACAATCCAAGTCATAGTGGGGGGGTCTAATTCCTTTGCGAGGTGTTGAAAGGCAATATTAGGAATTTTGTGTAATTTGGGGGAATATCTATTTTTTTATTTTTTATTTTTGCATGGGTTTTGTGAGCTCGTTTTTAGCGTTGAAAATGAAATGGTGTGTAGTGGAGTATAAATGTTTTCTGAATATATCTCTCTTCTTCATTTAGGCATACAGGGTTACATATTCTAAGTACTCTGAAGTAAAATTCTATGATTAATGCAGATTTTATTCTCTGGTTCTGCTAAGAATAGAAAATGATTAGGTCGTTTTTGTTCGTAGATTTTCTGTAAACTTTAAAATATAATTTATGTTTAGTTGCGTATTAATAAGAGCTCAAGGAAAAGTAGAGAATTGTTTGTTTCAAGTTCGTGTGCGAATTCAACCTTACTGAGTTTTGTTATTATGTTTAATCGGTTAGTATCTTGAGGATAAAGTAAAAGGATGTCATCAATGTATCTCGGGTAAGTACAGCTGTTAAGGTAAGATATCTTTAAATGGGTTGGAATCTAAGAATTCTAGAAAGGGGCAAGCAAAATTACCACTGATTGGTGACCCCATTATTAAGCCCTATTTTTTGTATTGAAAGAAAACTAACAGTAGTTAGTAATTAGTTTGCATATCTTAATAATTTTGTGGACCGGTAGGGGAAGCTTTTCGTCGGATTTTTTTAGTTGATTTTTTAATATATTAAGGCATTTTCGGTAGGTATTTTGGTATATAGTATATATATATATATATATATATATATATATATATATATATATATATATATATATATATATGTGTGTGTGTGTGTGTGTGTGTGTGTGTGTGTGCGCGCGTGTGTTTGTTTTCATAAAAAAGTAATGGATTTGTTATAAATCCGGCAGACTTTTTTAATCATTATAATTTATTTTTTATTGATACTGTATTTGAGTAGACGCTCCGTTTATTTATTAAACAGTATATTTATTTATTTTCGTCTATTTTTTTTTTTTTTAGAGTCGCTTTGTAGCGAAAGTTATTTAATTTTATTCTACAGGTGAATTTCTAATCCCGGATTACGATTTATGACAGCACATATGTTGTTATCTTTGGGTACGTGCTCTCTTGCTTGTAAAATCAGTAAATAATGATGGTCACACATAGCTGAGCGGTTTTGTAAGATATCAAGAAAAAATATCCGTCATTTGAGCATGCAAGTACAGAATATTTCTGGCAAATATACAAG